AACTCCCCCTCCTTCCTTATTATCCCTGTCTCTCCCGACCAGTACCATATCACCTATACTGATTTCATTGTCGGCGATAGTGGGGTTTAGCCACGTTTCAGTAAGAATGATTATTTTCAGTTGAAGGTGTGCTTGGAGATTTCGGAGTTCACCTACTTTTCCTCTCAGCCCCCTCACATTGCTATATAGGCAACTGACAGTGGGTCTAACAACCTCAGAGGGGTAGTTGACGTGAAACCGTCTGCTGGTGGGGGACTTGATGTTGGAACTAGTTGGCCGATTCCGATAGAACCGGCCCGTTGTAGTTTTTTTTTCATGGATTTGGGCAGGATACTTGGGTGACACAGACTATTATTCTCAGAACTGCATCGCTTTAGTGTCACTGAAGCTTGACGACGTATTAAAGCCTCAGTTTGCTGTCTCCTTATAATTCGGGGTCTGCTTTCACAGCATCGGATGTGTCCTCCAATTTTTCCCTTGGTCTCATACCACCGTTGAAGTGCTATGGACAACTGCTCCAGCGAGTTGAATGTGACACTTAGCAGCTTTGGAGAGCTAATCAGTGAGAGGTGAGCGGAGCAAGGTAGTCGGAAAATAGAGATAGCTCCAGAAGCGCTAAGGGCGATCCGAGATGACAGCCATCTTCATTGCTGTACGTCGTGCATGTGTTTTCCACAAGCATTGCCGGTTTCCAGCTCCGGGACACCGTGTACCACCACAGAGATAGAAGGCATCAGTTCCGGTGACTTTCTTGCCATTTATCTGGTAGCCCATGGTCTGTCTTGTCTCACCCTTCTTTTCGCACTTCTGTTCAGGGCTAGTACCTGAGCCATTAATGGTACTTTTTTGGCCTCTTCGGCAGAGTCCAGTGAAACCCTTAATGGGGTTGGCTTCCCCTGAGGCGTGTGGACACCCGTGTATAGCCTGCACAATTTTGCTGAACTAATGTTCAGACCTAATTTATTGCACAGGTTGGACCACTGTTCCTGATCAAACAGGGCCCGTTGTTCAAGCAAGCTATCCTTGCTCACATGTACGTTAAAGAGGATGAGAGAGTTAGACCGACTAACCTCAGACTTAGGTTTGGTCCTCGGCTTCTTGCATTCCTTCGGATCACCAGCAGCATTAGGCTCCATCGGTATCTGGCCAACCTGTTTTGTGTTGCTAAGCTTGCTAGTGGATGCAAGTGGTGCTTTTGTAATTCTGACTTGCCTTGATGTGGATGCAACCTTGTGAAAATTGGCATTTCCAGTCAGTAGGGCTGGTGTGTCCCTCTTACCGCCTTTGACAAGTTTTGGCAGTGTGATGTTAGCCGGTGGGGAGCTGCATGAGACTTTTTGGAACACAAGAGCGGCGTGTTGTTTCTGCTATCCCAGACACGCTTTGTTGAACTATGCCAGGGCGACAAGGTGGACACGTACCAAAACCATGGGCATGGGTTATTTCCCTTAAACTCGTAGTATGCTTTCGGTACCTCTTTGTCACAACGGCAGTCCACCCATCGTTTGCAAAAATTGCATTCAAACGCTGAGTCAGTTTTAGAAATTATGATACTGCACGCCTGACATTCACCTCCTTTCCTTGATGACGCCTTCGGGGTCTTATGACGTCTTGAGCATTTCCTTTTAGGTTTACTTTGTCTGCCAAAACTGGCCTACAGTTGATGCAGCTGTAGTATCCTCTCCCCCTGGTATTGCCTGTGCCGTTTCAGTACTAGGCTGTGGCAATGCAGGCGTAGTATCAGGACAGACGAAGGCTACACGAGTCTTTAGGATCGGTATGCGGTTGAAGTCCCTGGGTTCTTGCCTTCTCTGGCTGAAGCCCTTGTGACTACAGAGTATGGTGTTTTAGTGGCTTTTCTAAGGCCACTTTCGACAACCATATTAGCAATCAGTATGACTTGTGCTTTAAACGAATAAGAGAGCTATATTATCTATCCAAAAGAACAAGAATAAGACTGAAAGAGTACAAGACAAGGAAAAGAAAAGGTTTTCGACTTTACCTAGTACTTTCTGGATGATCGGCTTCATAGCAATCACGTGGTAGAGCAACAAGTCTTGTTTATCTGAACGAGTGAGGAAGATGCTGCTAAAGAAGTAGCACCTGAAGCTTTGGCAGTAGCTCGAGACAGTTGGACTTACCACACAGAGATTTATTATGTAAGTGATCGTTGAATATAATTCACAGGCTAGGGAGATCAGGTTTTCTAAGCGAATAATTCCCAAAATTGGTATTTTCCGGTCATTTTTACGAAACTAAATTGGTTTCTTTGTGCAATAAGTCAAGGTTTCTTGGTCTCCAGTAAAAATCAGCCTTAGTGTATCCGGACATTCGACAGTCGTAGCTTAGATAGACTCCCAAAGGTGGGCTGTAACATCTGGTGTGTTGAGATTGGAGTTGGTCACTTCACCCATAAGTCTACCTGCGGAATCAAAAGGAGAGATAATGATAGGTATAATTGCAGTAGATTGTGTGGACTTGAAAAAAAGTTCAAACTAATGGTTAGATATGTTTGTAACTGGTACATACGTGTATATTTATTTCAATAATGACGATATTAGAGAATGAACAGATGAAATAGCCAGAAAGGTAGGAAGAGGGAGGATGGGAAGTAGTAAAGGACGAGTTTGGGTGAATACCATTAATAGTGTGCAAGTTTTAAAGGTATAGAGCGTTTGGACACAGTCTGTTGGTCTCTGCATGATTGTTCAGCCTCCACTCAAAGCCTTCCACGAAGGCCGCAGCCGCCATTGGCAAGAAAGTCGAAGAACAGAAAAGTGAGAGCGCACTCAAACTTATTATCAGTGGACTATTCATCCTGGACTGCCATGAGGAAACTATCAGGCATTTTATGACGACACACCTTTTGTCAATGTAGTTGAAGATTGAACAATCAATTCATGGTTGTTTGCTTAAACCCAACTCCTCTACATTTTTCGCGGGAGTCATCAATCCACCAGTCATCGTCTCATCGTTCGCTGTTCGCTGGAAGACAGAAATCTACCAGAAGTACCATCGTGATTTATTGTCATAACATTTATTCTTAAACCTTGTGTATAATAACCCTATTGTTGGCTACATATTGGCGTAAGAATAAAGGATTCTCGAGTCGCCGATCTGTGTTCTGGTTTTCGCGTTGGTTAAGACAACTTGTTTCTGAGGGTCTTCCAATGACCACGTGAGGTCCAGCGTAGTAAGAGCTGGACATTGACAGTTTCTGATAATTCTCCTGGAATCATTCGTCTTATTTGTTTTCAATTCGTCTTTGTCCGCGTCTGCACGTCTTCTTTGGACAAGTATTTCGGAAATTTTCTGGATCTTTTTGTCATGATCAATAATACCTTGATCAAAGGAAGTCAAAGCACATTGATTTGATGTTATTAGATGGTTGGAGGAAATTTGTTGAGGTGCTGCACTGGTGTTGCTACAAGAACTATACTGCGCTGTAAGGTTATGCCCCCAAACGAAGGATATACTGGGGCGATGCGTATCCTGCGTCAAAGGTTTGGAAGACCTTCAATGATTGTAAGGAACGTATTCGAGACCGTTAAAGGTAATGGTATTCAATTACGAGATGACTCCAAGGTACTCTCTGAGTTTTTGGATAATCTGATGATTTACAAGAATACGTTGATTTCGATGAATTGCATGAGCGATCCGAACTCAAGTTCCGTCCTAGAGTATTAGCGAGACGCCCACCTACTCGACTACAAAGGAGGTGGGTGAAGATAAGCTCTCGTATAGATGATGAAGGTACTGAGCCAAATTTCGATGATATTCAGAAGCTGGTAAAAGAAAGTGTCAATTAAGCTATGAGCAAGTTTGCCAGTATATTGCATCTCCACACCTAGAATAGAGAAGTCTGGGAGAGAAACGCAATCATTTATGACGAGAGGGACTCAGATAAGTGGACATGGAGAAAACGCTATGGTGTTTAGTGCCATTATGATTGGCAGCATTCCTTGGTATTAGAGCGACTTTATTGCATATCCCCTCAATGACGCTTGTTGCTGTGTTGCTATTGGTTTCAAGTGGCCTTGGTTTTAGGGGAAGATTTAACTGATGTAATATTGCGATTTCGTAGACATAACTCAGGCTCATACGTGAAAAACTATAATCCTGGAATAAAGACAAGTTGTTTAGAAGGTAAAGAGGGCATTATTTTTCAGTTTATTTGTATATATACTATTGTGTATCGAGTTGCACTGAGTTCTTAGTGCATTCATTTTCATTAAGTTCATTTTCATTAAGTGTAGTAATGAAGAATGGAATTTCTTCCACATCAGTGTTATTTAATTGAAGTTTTAATCTTTGTAGGCCCTTGATGGAATAAATTCGGCACGGAGAACTCCTGTGGAAACCGAAAGCACTTTTAGTTTACTAAATCTCACTGACTCCCTGTATAAATTTGATCTGTCAAGTGTTTATGTAAAGTCTGCTGGTGTATTCAGTAAAGTAAAAGTTGTAGTGCTTAACTCCTAGACTTGTTGTAGTCATTGGTATTGCCAGAATACTACTTACTCGTTTTATGCAGCCGAAATATTCAATTCTCACTTTATTGAGGAAATAGTATATTGCCTGCAAAAGTAGTGCGTCAGTTTACGAGTTTCATCAAGCCTATAGAATGTTTTCTGTTCACTGAATACTGTTTACGAATTATCCGAGAATATCCAATATCCAATATCGTTTTTACGAGCTAGTATAAACCAATTTGATTTCTTTGTGCTCGCCTCTTGATTGTGAGGTATAGGTTCTTGATCTTCGGTAAACTTCTGCGTAGCTTGTCCCGCCACTCGACTGTCGTAGCTTTGGTTGACTCCAAAGGGAGTAGTGCTGGGATTAATTATATGTGGTTTGTAGTATGAGGTATGTTAAGACTGTTACTACTGTGATTGGAGTTGATCCTTTCGCCAGTTAGTCCTTCGGTATTGTCGACAAGAGAAAAGAGATAGTAATAATAATAATAATAGTAATAATAATAATAATAGATATAATTAGTGAAGCTATTCAGACTAAGAGACAGAAACGAAAATAGGAAACGTAACAACAGTCAGCTCATGAAGTTTGAAGAATAATATATATATCGGTAATAGTAATAATAATAATAGTAATTATAATATTAATAAGTTGTCAGGAGAGTAAGACGGGAGAGAATGTAAAGAAGTAAAATGACGAGTTTAATTATCTACCCTGATTGGTAAATGCGATTTTAAGGAGATAGGCCATTTGGATGCAGTCCTTGTATAGCTGCATGGTTGTCCAGCCTTCGCTTAAAGGCGTCCAAAGACGGTGCCATAGCTACATCTGCCGGTAAGGAATTCCAGGGACGACAAACCCGCAGTGAAAAGAAGTGGGAGCGCACCCGGGTCCTTGCCCTCTGGTGAGCTATCCTTCTGGGATTTCCACGTGGAAGCCTATACCTACTCAATGGCAGAACACCTTTGTTTGGGTGATTCTGGTCATTTGTTATTTTGTAGGCAGTAATCAAATCCCCCCTAAGCCGACGGTAACTAAGTGTGAACAGGCCTAATTTCTTCAGCCTTTCATCATATGGTTTGTTTCGGAGACCAACCACTCCTTTTGTTGCCCGTCGTTGGACTCTTTCCAAGAGGTTGGCATCTCTTCTCAGCATTGGGGGTGCAATAATATTATGCACCTCAAGGTGTGGCCTGACGTATGTTTTGTACAACATTAGAAAGAGCTCAGGAGTGAGTGCACCTAACTGTCTATGCGTAAAGTGTATGACCGCATATGCCCTCGCTACATCCCCTGTGTAATTTACGCTTGTGTCCATTTTTTCCGTTAGAACTAGACCTAAGTCGCGTTCCGACGTTGTGCAGGACAAGCTTTCATTGCACAGGGTGTAACTTGCATTCTGCAGTCTACAGGTGCGCAACTTCACTACTTTGCACTTTTTCAAGTTGAAAGTCATGCCACTGGCCACCGCCCAGTCTTCCAGAAGGTTTAGGTCTTCCTGTAGCCTATCTGAGTCCTCCGGACACTTTATCGCCCTCCATATTTTTACGTCGTCAGCGTACAGGAGAGTCGGGCAGCTCAGACGGCGTGGTAGATCATTGATGAAAATCAAAAACATCAGTGGTCCTAGGATAGAACCCTGCGACACTCCTGATGACGATCTGTGCCAAGATGATCGGACTCGGTTAACCTTAGTGCAAAATTGCCTGTCGGCTAGGTAGTCCTTCAACCATGACAGAAGTGGCTCACCTATGCCTGCCTGGCTTATTTTATGTAGGAGAAGGTCATGGTGAACAGTGTCAAACGCCTTCTCAAAGTCTAGGAAGACCACATGGACTGGTACGTTCAAGTCCCAGCATGATGTCCAGTCGTCCCAAGCTGACAGTAGGTTAGTGACGCAGGATCTGCCTTTTCTGAAACCATGTTGGGCTTCATGCAGTATATTAGTCCTATCGAAATATTCCCTGATGTGGTCGTCAATAATACTTTCCAGTACTTTTGATACCACTGGGAGTAGAGCTACTGGTCTATAGCTAGCAGCGTTTTGCCTGTCCCCACCCTTGAAGATCGGAGAAAGGATGGCTCTTTTCCACTCCCTTGGCAGGGTCCCCGAATCCATTGAGTGTTGGAACAAGTCGCACAGGGGTCTACAGAGAGCCTCGGCGCACTGTTTCAGAACAGATGGCCTGATGTCATCACAACCTGGGGACTTCCCAGGTATGAGTCTCTGTAGCTTCCTTAGTACTATTGCGGGGTTTATTTGGGGAGTAGTCGCTAGGTCTTCCTCCTCTGAAATAGTGGTGCCACCATTTTGGTCCGTAACTGTAATATCCACATTGCTGTTTAGCTGTTTAGCGAAGGCTGAACTGAATGTTTCAGCCATCTCCAGACTAGTGAGATATTGACCGTTTGGGCCTACTAAGGCGCATGCCCCTTGGTTTGTCGGTTTTCTTTCCGACATGAATCGGTACAAGTTTTTAGGGTTTGATAGGAGTTTTTTAGCAAGGTTAGCCTGGAATGACCTTCTGTCCCTCCTAACTCTTGCATTACACCGGTTCCTGAGTTCGAGGTATGCATCATGGTCGGTCTGACTCTTAGATACACGCCACGTAAACCAAGCCCTCCGCTTTGCTTGCAGAATACGTTGCGTGCCTCTCTTCAACCATGACGTCTTTCTCTTAGGCTGTGTTGTGACTAAAGGGACGGTATCCGAGATTGCTGCATGGATAATCTTTTTTACCACTTCCCAGTGTTCATCCACAGATAGGTCGTCCCATGCTAAGGGCCAGTCTGCGTCGGACAAGAGCCTCCGCATTTCAGCATAGTCAGCCTTGCTGTAGCACAGACATGGTCGCGTAACATCCCATTGCAAACGCTCACGGAGGACAAGATCGAAACCTATGACTGCATGGTCACTGCTTCCCAGAGGAGTCATGATCTGGACCTTTTCGACGAGTAGCTGGTCACTAGTTAGAATATAATCTAGTTTTGATGACTTTCCACTAGGGCCCCACCTAGTGTCGTCTCCAACATTCTCAGTCAGTCCCGTGTTTCGAATAGTTTGCAGTAGGTTTCGGCCAAATTTTCCCTTAGCACACCCGGAGCCAAGGTTCAGTGATGGAGCATTGAAATCTCCAGCTATGGTGATTTGGTCGTAGCCCAAATCTCGTATTCCTGTGATAGTGCTGAGCAGTAGCTGATTGTGCTCTGCCCCACAGGTGGGAGATCGGTAGATGCCACCCAGTAAGTGCTTGGTGTGGCCTACGGTGAAATGACACCATATGGAGTCTGGGAGTTCGATAAGTGGTGGGTCCGTTGCGCGCACACATTTAAGTTGCCTATCAAAGTATATAGCAACTCCCCCTCCTTCCTTATTATCCCTGTCTCTCCTGACCAGTACCATATCACCTATACTGATTTCATTGTCGGCGATAGTGGGGTTTAGCCACGTTTCAGTAAGAATGATTATTTTCAGTTGAAGGTGTGCTTGGAGATTTCGGAGTTCACCTACTTTCCCTCTCAGCCCCCTCACATTGCTATATAGGCAACTGACAGTGAGTCTAACAACCTCAGAGGGGTAGTTGACGTGAAACCGTCTGCTGGTGGGGGACTTGATGTTGGAACTAGTTGGCCGATTCCGATAGAACCGGCCCGTTGTAGTTTTTTTCAATGGATTTAGGCAGGACACTTGGGAGACACAGACTATTATTCTCAGAGCTGCATCGCTCTAGTGTCACCGAAGCTTGGGGTCGTATTAAAGCCTCAGTTTGCTGCCTCCTTATATTTCTGGGTCTGCTTTCACAGCATCGGATGTGTCCTCCAATTTTTCCCTTGGTCTCATACCACCGTTGAAGTGATATGGACAACTGCTCCGGGGAGTTGAATGTGACACACAGCAGCTTTGGAGAGTTAATCAATGTTAGATGAGCGGGACGAGGTAGTCGGAAAATGGAGATGGCTCCAGAAGCGCCAGGGGCCATCTGAGATGACAGCCATCTCCATTGTTGTACGTCGTGCATGTGTTTTTCACAAGCAGTGCCGGTTTCCAGCTCCGGAACACCGTGTACCACCATAGAGGTGGAAGGCATCAGTTCCGGTGACTCCCTCGCCATATTTCTGACGGCCCATGGTCTATCTTGCCGCGCTCTTATGTTAGAACTTCTGTCCAGGGCTAGTACCTGAGCCATTAACAGTACTTTTTCGGCCTCTTCGGCAGAGTCCAGTGTAACCCGTAATGGGGGTGGCTTACCCTGAGGCGTGTGGACACCCCTGTACAGTCTGCACAGTTTTGCTGAACTAATGTTCAGACCTAGTTTGCCACACAGGTTGGACCACTGTTCCTGATCAAACAGGGCCCGTTGTTCGAGCAAGCTATCCGTGCTCACAGGTACGTTAAAGAGGATGAGAGAGTTAGACCGACTACCCTCAGACTTAGGTTTTGCCTTCGGCTTCTTGCAGTCCTTTGCATCATTAGCAACATTAGGCTTCGTCGGTACCTGGACAGCCTTTTTTGTGTTGCCAGGCTTGCTAGTGGATGCAAGTGGTGCCTTTGTAATTTTGCCCTCCCCTGTTGTGGATGGAACCTTGCTAATCTTCACCTTGTGAGAATTGGCATTTCCAGTCAGTAGGGCTGGTGTGTCCTTCTTTAAGTCTTTGACCAGTTTCGGCAGTGCGAGTTTAGCAGGGGGGAGCTGCATGATACTGTGTTGGGGCACAAGAGCATGTTATTTCTGCTATCCGCAGACACGCTTTGTGGGACTATGCCAGGGCGACAAAGTGGACACACGTACCAAAACCATGGGCATGGGTTATTTCTCATAAACTCATAGTATGCTTTCGGTACTTCTTTGTCACAACGGCAGTGCACCCATCGTTTGCAAAAATTACATTCAAACGCTGAATCAGTTTTAGAAACTGTGATGTTGCACGCCTGGCATTCATCCCCTTTCCTTGATGACGCCTTCGAGGTCTTATGACGTCTTGAACGTTTCCTTTTAGGCTTGATGTGTTTCACACACTGGCCTACAGTTGATGCAGGTGTAGAATTCTGTCCTTCTGGTATTGCCTGTGCCGTTTCAGTACTAGACTGTGGCAATGCAGGCGTTGTATCAGGGCAGACTAAAGCTACACGAGTCTTTAGGATCGGTATGCGGGAAGGGGTTGAAATCCCTGGATTTTTTCCTTCCCTGGCTGAAGCCCTTGTGACTACAGAGTACGGTATTCTAGTGGCTTTTTTAAGGCTGCTTTCAACAACCATATTAACAGTCACTATAAATTATGCTATGTACGTCTAAGAGAGCAACAGTTTCTAACCAAAAGAGCAAGAATAAGACTGAAAAAGTGTAAGGCAAGGAAAAGAAAAGGTTTTCGACTTTACCTAGTACTTTCTGAATGATCGGCTTCACGGCAATCACGTGGTAGACCAACAAGTCTTGTTTCTCTGAACGAGTGAGGAAGATGCTGCTACAAAAGTAGCACCTGAAGCTTTGGCAGTAGTTCGAGACAGCTGGACTTACCACACAGAGATTTACTATGTAAGTAATGGTTGAATTAAATTCACCGGCTAGGAAGATCAGGTTTCCCAAACGGATAATTCACAGAATTGGTATTTTCCGGTTGGAGAGGAAAAAGCACGTCGTATTCAAGGAGCGCGCGTGCCGTGTGGGATGTAATACAAAGCTGAATTCTTAAACTGTCATCCTTATAACAGTTCAATTCAATCACACATATAATTATATGATAGTCTGTAATTGACTTCAAAGACTTATCAGGGAATATTCTCATCACCTTACGGTTTGCTGATGATATTGTCCACCTAGACTATGAGAAGTAACCCCTGATGCTGTAAAATATGAAAATAATACCGGTGTTTGATTATAGGTGTCCGCGTTCTATCTCATCAGTTAAGCAGTATAATATGGCGAGTGCTGTTGAGGTTACGCATAAATGTTTAGGTGGGGAGGGTTAGTTAGCCTTCAAGGTAGGGAAGCTGAATAGGTTGAGATGGCTAGAACACGTGCTGGCATACTAAGCCATCGCCTTCCTCCAGGGACAATGCTGACCAGCACATGTTAAGGTTTAAAATGCGTTTGGGTCGGTCAAATGAAAAAGTGATATTGGTTCATAAAATTGTTGACAGTCGGCTGGAAGAAATACCGGAGATGTGACTGCAAATCTTTGGTACTGGTACTGGTGCATTCACTCTGTGTAATCTCACATATCTATTCAACTCATGTTTTTCCTTGTCATTATTTATTCTCCCTCACATTTTCTCTCGTTAAACTTCCATTTAGTTTTATGTCTCTACCTTCGTGTGCTACATGGAATGTGGTAAATTAAACAGGTGGACTTCTCTGCAAACTCATACTGAAAGCTACTCAGAATGACAGTCTGTGCGTAACTAAATGCGAAACATTGATAAATGATCTCCAAAATTTCAACAAATGATAAGTGTAGTTCATAATCTTGTTCTTTGTCAAATGAAAAATTGATACCTTTCGGTAATCTCTTCTTCCACCCGGGACTCGTCTCCTACTTTGCAACTGGATTTGTGCTTTGTCACATTTGTACTTAGTTTTCGGTCATTCAGCATTCGCCGTTGCTGTTGACTCAGCGCCTAGATGACTTTAGTTGAATAAGGTTTCGATCGTGCAAACACGGGTCCTAGGCAGTTGATTGGTTGCATTATCATTTCTCAAATGGAATGCAGCATACTGTATATTAGGGTAAATCTTCCGCCTCGCCTGCTGGAGCTGGTGTTCCTCAGGGTATTGTTATCTCTCTTTTCTTTTTTCTCTCTCGTCTTACATGACCTTTCTCTTTCTAATGAGA